TATGGTCATTTTCACAATATTGATTCTACCCATCCATGAACATGGGATGTGTTTCCATTTGTGTGTGTGTCTATGGTGTCTTTCAGCAATGTTTTGTAGTTTTCCTTTTAGAGATCTTTCACCTCCTTGATTAGGTATATTCCTAAGTATTATTATTTTTTTGGCAGGTGTTGTAAGGAGGGTTGAGTAATTGATTTGATTCTCAGCTTGGTTGCTGTTGGTGTATAGCAGTGCTACTGATTTGTGTACATTGATTTTGTATCCTGAAACTGCTGAATTTATTTATCAGATCTAGGAGCTTTTTGCATGAGTCTTTAGGGTTTTCTAGGTATACTATCATATCACTGGTGAATAGTGACAGTTTGACTTCGTCTTTACTGATATGAATGAATGCCATTTCTTTCTCTTGTCCAATTGCACTGGCTAGGATTTCCAGTAATATGCTGAATAGAAGCAGTGAAAGTGGGCATCCCTGTCTTTTTCCAGTTCTCAGGGGGAATGCTTTCAACTTTTCCCTGTTCAGTATAATGTTGGCTATGGGTTTATCATAGATGGCTTTCATTACTTTAAGGTATGTCCCTTCTGTGCCAATTTCGCTTAGGGTTTTAATCATAAAGGGATGCTTGATTTTGTCAAATGCTTTTTCTGCATCTATTGAGATGATCATATGAATTTTGTTTTTAGTTGTTTATGTGGTGTATCACATTTATTGACTTGCATATGTTAAACCAGTCCCGTATCCCTGGCATGAAACCCACTTCATCATGGTATATTATCTTTCTGATACGCTGTTGGATTCGGTTAGCTAGTATTTTGTTGAGGGTTTTTGCATCTGTGTTCATCGGGAATATTGGTCTGTAGTCTTCTTTTGTTACGTCATTTCCTGATTTTGGAATTAGGCTGATAGTGGCTTCATTGAATGATTTAGGGAGGATTCCCTCTTTCCCTATCTTTTGGAATAGTTTCAGTAGGATTGGTACCAATTCTTTGAATGTCTGATAGAATTCAGCTGTGAATCCATCAGGTCCTGGACCTTGTTTTATTGGCAGTTTTTTTTATTACTGTTTCAATCATGCTACTTGTTATTGGTCCGTTCAGAGTTTCTCTTTCTTTCTGGTTTAATCTAGAAGGGTTGTATATTTCCAGGAATTTATCCATTTTATCTCGGTTTTCTAGTTTGTGTGCATAAAGGTGTTCATAGTAGCCTTGAATGATCTTTTGTATTTCTGTGGTATCAGTTGTTGTCTCTCCCATTTCATTTCTAATTGAGCTTATTCGGATCTTCTCTCTTCTTTTTTTGGTTAATCTTGCTAATGGTCTACCAATTTTCTTTATTTTTCCACAGAACCAGCTTTTTGTTTCATTTATCTTTTGTAGTGTTTTTTCAGTTTTGTTTAGTTCTGCTCTGATCTTTATTTCTTTTCTTCTGCTGGGTTTGAGTTTGATTTGTTCTTGTTTCTCTAGTTACTTGAGGCGTAAGCTTAGATTGTCTGTTTATGCTCTTTCAGACTTTTTGATGTAGACATTTAATGCTGTGAACTTACTAAAAGTAGTGCCACTTTTGCTGTATCCCAGAGGTTTTGATAGGTTGTGTCACTGTTCAGTTCAAAAAAATATTTTAATTTCCATCTTCATTTCATTGTTGACTCAAAGATCATTCAAGAGCAGAGTATTAAATTTCCATGTATTTGTATATAGTTTTGAGGGTTCCTTTTGGAGTTAATTTCCAATTGTATTCCACTGTGGTGTGAGAGGGTACTTGATACAATTTCAGTTTTCTTAAGTTTATTGAGACTTGTGGCCCACCATATGGTCTATCCTTGAGAATGCTCCATGTGCTGATGAAAATAACGTATATTCTGCAGTTTTTGGGTAGAATATTCCGTAGGTATCTGTTAAGTCCATTTGTTCTAGGGTGTTAAGTCCATTGTTTCTTTGTTGACTCTGTCTTGAAGACCTGTCTAAGGCTGTCAGTGAAGTATTGAAGTCACCCACTATTATTGTGTTGCCATCTATCTAATTTCTTCGGTCTAATAGTAATGGTTTTATAAATTTGGGAGCTCTGGTGGTAGATGCATATATATTTAGAATTATGATATTTCTTGTTGAACTAATCATTTTAGTAGTATGTAATGTCCCTCTGTCTTTTTTTAGCTGTTGTTGCTTTAAAGTCTGTTTTGTCTGATATAAGAATAGCTACTCCTGCTTGCTTTTGGTTTCCATTTGCATGGAATATCTTTTTCTACCCCTTTACTTTAAGTTTATGTGAGTCATGTGTTAGGTGAGTCTCCTGAACACAGCAGATTCTTGGTTGGTGGTCCAATCTCACATTCTGTACCTTTTAAGAGGAGCATTTAGGCCATTTACATCCAACATTATTATTTGAGATGTGAGGTACTGTTCTATTCATCATGCTAGTTGTTGCTTGAATACTTTGATGTTGTTTTTTCATTGTTATTTTATAGGCCCTTTGAGATTTATGTTTTAAGGAGGCTCTATTTTGGTGTACTTCAAGGTTTTGTTTCAAGATTTAGAATTCCTAGGCTGAGTGTAGTGGCTCACGCCTGAAGTCCTAGCACTTTGAGAGGCCCAGGCGGGCATCACCTGAAGTCAGGAGATCAAGACCAGCCTGGCCAACATGGCAAAACCCCGTATCTACAAAAAATACAAAAATTAGCTGGGCATGTTGGTAAGCCTCTATAATCCCAGCTACTCAGAAGGCTGAGGCACAAAAATCACTTGAACCCATTAGGCAGAGGTCACACTGAGCCAAGATTGCACCACTGCATTCCAGCCTGGATGGCAGAGCAAGATTCCATCTCAAAAAAAAAAAAAGATTTAGAACTCCTTTCAGCATTTCTTGTAGTGCCGGCTTGGTAGTGGCAAATTCTCAGCATAGATCTCTCCTTCATTTATGAAGCTTGGTTTTGTTGGATACCAAATTCTTAGCTGATAATTATTTTGATTAAGGAGACTAAACACATTGCCACACGCTGTTCTGTCTGTCCATGTGGGAGCTGCATGTTAGTCCTGTCCCCTTATCCACCATTTTCCTCCTCAGCACAGCAGATCGAAATGTTTGCCTCTGCTATGTTTTGTTCTCTCCAAGGCCCCAGCATATTGGATGGTGCCCACTCATATTTGAATGCAGATCTTCCTTACCTAGTCCAGAGATTCACATGCTAATCTCTGCTCATTCATCTTTAAACCATTCAATTATAAAACCCTGGATTTTTCAGACACCTGTTATCTTTTTCTTTTCTCAACCATTATTCTTTGCCATTTGACCCTTGCAATAATCCATGCTCCTTTATTATGATATGAACTGTTCTTTCTGCTAATATATTCTTTAACATTTTTCAAAGTATATCTTACAAGATTATGCTTCACAGTGTAACACTTACAAGGTGCTAATAAAAGAAAAAAGTGCTATATCAGGTAACAGTCTTAAGATTTTTGATAAAAATGTAGAAAGCACTATACATACTTTGCCTCAAGTGCCTCTCTGGCTTCTGTTACTGCTAAATACTGATGACTAAAAATAGATCTGCAAAGTTAAAAATAATGTTTTAAAAAGTTTCATTTACATATTGGTAGTAGTGTTTCAGAAACTCATGCCTACAAAATTTTATCAACTCTTTCAAATACTGCTGTCAATTCCTTAGTCCCCTAATGACTAGATGATTTAACTGATATATATTTAAATTGTAACATGTTGTCTTCCAGATTTTGTCTTCCCTTGAGTATCTAAGATCCTGTTTTAATATTAGCATAAGATGAGATATAGGCAGTTTTTCTCAAGACCATCCCTCAGAAAAGAAGTGTTGCTTTACTTCAAGTTCTACTGAGCCTATTATTAAAAGATGCTGGTAAAAGGAATTTGAGGAGAAGAAAAAATTTTTTAATGTTAAAAAAAGATGCTCTCTCAGCTTGTTTCAAATAGTAAAGTACTGTTTCAGAAGACATTAGCCTGAAAGGATTTCAGATCTCAATTGATAATAGTTTTGGATGCAGATTAAAGAATACCCAACAAAACTGATTGAAACAAAAAGAGGCAAGGAATTTTAAACAGATTCATTAATTGATTCAGATGTATTAATTTACTGATTGATCACCCTACATTTGCAAGTGTTAGAGTAGATATCCTTAAGAATAAACATACCTTATAGAAGCTTTAATCAGCCTGGGCAACACAAGGAGACGCTATCTCTACAAAAAATCAAAAATGGCCGGGCGTGGTGGCTCACGCCTGTAATCCCAGCACTTTGGGGGGGCAAGGCGGGTAGATCACAAGGTCAAGAGATCAAGACCATCCTGGCCAACATGATGAAACCCTAGCTCTACTAAAAATACAAAAATTAGCTGGGCGTGCTGGCACGCACTTGTAGGCCCAGCTACTTGGGAGGCTGAGGCAGGAAAATCGCTTGAACCCAGGAGGCAGAGGTTGCAGTAAGCCGAGATCGTGCCCCTGCACTCCAGCCTGGCAACAAAGTGAGACTCTGTCTCAAAAAAAAAAAAAAAATCAAAAATCAAAAATTAGCTAGGCATGGTGTTGCACACTTGAGGCTGAAGTGGCGGCGGGAGCAGGATAAAAGAAACTAAGGAACCAGCACAGTACAGAAGTGCCTACTCTTTGAGGTCACAGATGCATCGCTACAGGATGAATAAAACCCAAAAAAACCTTCCTAATGCATGCAAATGTGTATTATACAGCTATCAAGTAACATATCACCCTAATAATAATGAAGATGAAATGCTTTAGAAACTATTTTATCAAAAGTGGCTCTGATACAAAGACTTGTACATGATTGTTCATAGTGGCACTATTAATGCCAAAAAGTGGACACAACCTAAATGTCCATTAACTGATAAGTAAAATGTGGTATATCCATACAATGGAATATTATGTAGCCCACAACATGGCATGGAGTACTACAACATGGATGAGCCTCAAAAACGTTATGCTAAATGAAAAAAAGCCAGATACAGGAAACCACATGTCATATTGATCCCATTTATATGAAACAGCCAGAAAAGGCAAGTCATAGAAACAAGATAGATTGGAGGTGGGTTGGAGGACTACAAATGGCACCAAGGATCTTTTGAAGTTGATGGAAATGTTCTAAAATCAGACTGTGGTTGTGGTTGAACAAGTCTGTAAATTTACTAAAATGCATTAATACACTTAAATGCGTTAATACACATAATAGCTGAATGTTATGATGTGTATTTAGTAAAGCTCTTTTTAAAATACAGCTCTAGTACTGCTAGAGGCATTGATATCAGAGATGCAGAGTTTGAATAATTGTTTCAGGAAAAGAGACTTTTCAGGAAAAGTTTATACTTTCAGTACTACAGGTAGGTGTGGTTTAAAGGAGAACCTCTTTCAGTGTTATAAACAGAACTTCATTTACAGCATAATAAACATACTTTCAATTTCCTTTCACTCCAAAGAATAAGACCCCTGAACTAAATTTTATGTTTTGTCTTAAGTATTTCAAAACCCATCCATGTCAAACTGATAACTTTACTATTGCTTGATACTGTGTTATTTCCCTTATGGGTAAACTTCGATCACTGGCCAAATCTGAAAAGCAAGAAGACACTCTTGTCATCTGAACAGTTCTATTAGGATGTTGTTAGCTTTTTAAAAATATTATATACTAACAAATTATATTTAAATGCCAGCTACCTAATGGTGCTAGAAGATTATTGCAATTGTGTTTTTACCCAAGTATAATTTTTAAAATAAAATCATGTTGCATTGCATTTTTTAAAAATCATTAGATTTATAATTGAATAATATAGACTTACAAATTTTTTTAGGGCCAAGAAAAAAGAAAAGAAACTTCAATGATTCCAGCCTATTTGTATCTGCTGAAGAGGTAAGGCTAATGTACTGTTCTGAGAGTCTAGCTATTCTACATTATTTTTAGTTTTCTAATAAATTTATCTTTTTGTTTAAGTTTGGCCATCTATTGGATGAAAATATGGGATCCAAGTTTGATAACATTGGCATGAATGCCATGGCTAACAAAGATAATGCAAGTAAGTAACTTAAATTTTTTTATTGATGTTTTAAAAATAGCTTTGGCTTAGAACTTCAGAAGATAGGAAATTTTTTAAATTTAATTTAATTTTTTTTTTGAGACAACGTCTTACTCCCTCGCCCAGGCTGGAATGCAGTGACATAATCTTGGCTCACTGCAACCTCCATCTCCCAGGTTCAAGCAATTCTGCCTCAGCCTCCCAAGTAGCTGGGATTACAGGCATGCACCACCACGCCCAGCTAATGTTTGTATTTTTAGTAGAGAGGGGGTTTCACCATGTTGGCCAGGCTGGTCTCGGACTCCTGACCTCGAGTGACCCGCCCACCTTGGCCTCCCAAAGTGCTGAGATTACTGGCGTGAGCCACCGTGCCTGGTTGATAGGAATATTTTTGAAAGACCTTTTCATGGTACTTTACAACCTGGAAGGAATGGCTTTATCTTCTCTCAGGAGAACATGTAAGATTAACAAGTATATAGAGCAAAAAAACAAAAACAAAAAAAACTTGCAGACTACAAAAATTACTTTTTTTTAGGGAAGTGAGCCATTTTTATATAGCATGAGTTTGCTAAGTAACTTTACATGTTTATAGACATTTTAATTATTTCTGATATTGATTGTTACTGGTTTTTATTTCACCAGTAAAACTGCTTGGGGAAAGAAGATCTTTAGAGCATTTGTTTCTTTTCCTTCCTTAGTCATTTCTTTATGAAACATTAATCTTTGACAATAAATATGAGAAGAAAAGCAACAAACAAGCAGTGGGTTTGTATAGTGGGTGGGAAACGGCAGGCCAAGGCAGGCTAGAAGTTCCTGTGACTCAGCAGCATGTTCTGTGGGACCGCCAGGAGTCTACAGTGTGGTAGTACACTCATCTTTTCTTCTCCCAAAGGTCTCAAACAGCTTAGATGGGAGGCTGAACGTGATGACTGGCTACACAACAGAGATGTAAAAAGTATCATCAAGAAAAAGAAACATTTTAAAAAGAGGATTAAAACCACTCAAAAAACTAAAAAGCAAAGGAAATGAGAGTTATTAATGTAAATTATAAATTGAAATTCTACTTACATCTAATTTTTGCTGTTCAGCCATGTTTTTTGATCCAGCTCTCTGATTCCATACATTCCAGACTTCTCAGTGGATTTGTAATAAACTATAAATAAAAATAGCTCTCATTTATAAAGTCATGTGGAAACATTGTTAAAATTAAACATATTGGAAAAAAAAAAAAACTTTTTTCCATATTGCTACATAACAAAATGAAAAAGAAGACAGGAGGATTACAGACTTCACATATAAGCCCTGGCGTCTCTGATCATTGTAATGAGCACTATTTCACGTAACTACATGATGTTATCTTGTTCAGTCTTTATCTACTTGACAGAGAAAGAGACAGCTCCAAGAAGTTAGCAAACCTGAGATGAAACTGATCTTTTAAAACCAAACGTTTAAACTGTGGTTTGATTCTGTCACCTCATATATGAATGATTCCAGAGTTTACATTCTTAACCCCTAGAAGAATTCAGAATCCAGCCCATTACCTAATTTTCTCACTAGTATAGATGAGAATTTAGTCTCAGAAGAACTAAAATAGATGTGAATAGTATTGTTAGAAATGCCTTGTAGAGAAATTACTACATAATTTATAGGTTACCTGAAGAAGTTGTTTTATACTTATTTTTACTTAAGGAAAAACATACCTTCCAAGATGAAGGGATATTTCTTGCTCATTGTTTGCCTGAAATCTGATGGAAAAAAGGATGTCTTGAAATTAGATATGAACAGAAATTCATTATTAACACATACAGCCACAATTTAATGCTAGCTTTAGGGTCCATATGATGGGAACCATATAGATTAGAAATTTGTTTTACAGTCCTTCTCCGTTTGTTTTTGTTTTTTTGAGACAGGATCTCTCTCCCTGTTGCCCAGGCTGTAGTACAGTGGCACAATCACAGCCCACCACTGCCTAGACCTCCCTGGGTTGGGCTCAAGAGAGCCTCCTACCTCAGTGAAGGTCAAATAGCTGGGACGGGGCTTAAGGGAGCCTCCTGCCTCAACCTCCCGAGTAGCTGGGACTACAGGAGCACACCACCATACCCAGTCTTTTTTTTTCCCCCCCTTAAGATACAGGGTCTTGCTATGTTGCCCAGACAGGGCTCAAGCAGTCCTTCCACCTTGACTTCCCAAAGTGCTGGAATTACAAGTGTGATCCACCACACCCAGCCATGACCAGTTTTTAAAATTCATCCCAAGCTTTAATTTGCTTTTAAATACTGTTAGGATGTTTTCTTTATACCCTTTCTTAGAGTTGAAAAGAAAAGATTTTGTGAGTATCCAGTAGCATTTTGGTACAGCGTTCCAACAAAGTACGCTGAGGAAGACTGTGACAAGTTTCAAAGATGGCTATCATGCCAGGACTATTCCTTGTTTTTGGGAAAAATCACTTCCTAATTTAAAAAGTTGAGGGCTCTAATATAAAATTTCCCCAAGAAAAATGTTAAAGCACTTTCAGCCATAGCATGTGAAAGTCTTTTAGTGCCCACTGTTGATGCCTAGGAAGAATACTATAGCCTGAGAAAACTGTTACTCCGAGAAAACAGCAGTAACCAGTTACTTTCTTAGTCTACCAAACAATGAAGTGTAATGGGCAGGCTAAGTTTCCTCCATCTGTGCTTCCAAACTAAGCCCGACCAAGGACACTTGCTCTACCCTCTCCAAAAGTAAAACCCATGGAGGTATGAAATTTTTCCCTTAGCCCACAAACAAAATTTTTAAGGGAGAAGTGAGAGTCATCTAGTCTACAATAATGAATACTTTGATTCCTGTTATGCCCATAAAAATGTCTAATATCTTGAATCTGAAGAACCAATTTCTCCAAAAATGCCATTGCCATTTAACACATAAAATGGATTAGCAAAACTATACCCCTTTAGAAAGCATTAACTTCTGAATTATGATTACCTTGGCTTGTGTGCATCTTGCTAAACAAAAAATATGCTCCAAAAAGGCCTACAAGTTCGGCTACCAAAATTCCTTTAAAGATCCTCTTTGCTAGTGGTTCCAAAGTACGGGCCATCCTAAATTTAAAATTAACAGATATGTGTAAACCTGAATGAGCATATTTAAACTACTATTATCATTTCTCTAATAACTCAAATTCATTCCCACAATTTGAATGGCTTATCTGTATGGGAATAAGACTTCAATACTATGGTATACTTTTTTGGTTTAGGCATCCTACATACCTAGTTTTCAAACTCCATGCCTAAGGGGCATGATGAACCAAAGACAAAATTGGATAAAGCACAGGAAAGAGATAAAATGCAAGAAAGCATTGTAAAAAACAATTTACAGAACTTAAATTTTTTAACTGTGTAGGAAAACAGAATGGGGAAGATAGGTTAATTTTTTAGCTGCACTGGGAATTAAGAAATAATCTAAATGGACACAATATGTGAACAGCTCTTCTTTGTAAAGTGCCCTACAAAAATAAGATTTTTCTGAAGAGGTTCTACATTTTCTAAGGCTGGAGTTCTTCATTTATTAATACAACATATACTAATATATACTATTATATATACTATATATGTATATTATAGATAGTATATATATACACTATCTGATATATACTAATATATACTAATATATGCTGATATATACTAATAATACAACATAAATTATGTGCTATAGTTCAGGCATTTGGAGTGCAGTAGCACAGTCTCACCTCACTGGGCTCAAACAATCCTCCCACCTCAGCCTCCTGAGCTGCTGGGACCACTGGCATGCCTGGCTATTTTTTTGCATTTTTAGTAGACACAGGGTCTCAACATGTCGCCCAGGTTGGTCTCAAACCCCTGAGCTCAAGCAATCCGCCCATCTCAGCCTCCCAAAGTGCTGGGATTACAGGCGTGAGCCAATAATCTGCCCTTTAGCAGACACTCTCAGTAATTTTTATACAAATGGGGGCAGGGGGTGGAAACTGATTGGGTGATGAACCAATAAGAGGCAAAACTACAGACCGGTTAGATCTTGATTGTCTTCCTTTAAAAGCTAATCAAGAAAACAGGTTTGTGTCATTATTCTTTTTCAAATTAAAAGATAACAAGCTAAGAAAATAGAATATAAGACTCTTACTGAATAAATTAATGTAAACCCAAGTTTTTAGCCAGCCTCCTTATAACCTCAAAGTCCACAAGAGGAGAACCACTCGTTTTTCATCTCAGATGTTTCTATTGACCTGTGTGTACTCCTTTGTCCTCAGTCCCAGCTCGCTGTGGTCAGGTGTTTACTCCATTCACTTCCCGCCCCTTTTCAATGCCTGAGGGTGGGTGTAATCAAATAACTTTCCTTTTTTTTGTAGGATTATTCTGCTAATATCTTACCAGGTGTCCCTCCCCACCACCCCCCAAATTCCCTCATTTTGATAATGTGATCACCCTGGAGACCAAAAGATTAAAACTTTACTATTCTTATTTAAAAGAAACGAAGCAAAGAAATTTGCAAAGGAAGGAATTCATATACAACCAAGAGGCAGTTGACTGGTGGGAAGGGACAGTTGTTTTGCTCCATTCACTACAATGCTGTACATGACTGACAGAAAAATAAGTCATGCTCAATACAGATGCCTCTCTTGAAGTTATTTTTTATTTTTTTGGAGACACAGTCTCACTCTGTTGCCCAAGCTGGAGTGCAGTGGCACCATCTCAGCTCACTGCAACCTCCGCCTTCCAGGTTCAAGCAATTCTCTTGCCTCAGCCTCCCCAGTAGCTGGAAGCTGGGACTCCCGCCACCAGGCCCAGCTAATTTTTTGTATTTTAGTAGAAACGGGGTTTCACCCTGTTGCCCAGGCCGGTCTTGAACTCCTGAGCTCAGGCAATCCACCGGCCTCAGCCTCCCAAAGTGCTAGGATTACAGGCATGTGCCACCGCGCCTGGCCTATTTTTATTTTTTTGAGACTGGGTCTTGCTGTCTCCCAGGCTGGAGTGCAGTGGTGCGACCTTGGCTCACTGCAATCTCCGTCTCCCGGGTTCCAGTGATTCTCCTGCTTCAGCCTCCCGAATAGCTGGGATTATAGGCATGTGCCACCACGTCTGGCTAATTTTTTGTACTTTTAGTAGAGATGAGGTTTCACCAAGTTGACCAATCTATTCTCCAAGTCCTGACCTCAAGTGATCCTCCCGCCTCTGCCTCCCAAAGTGCTGGTATTACAGGCGTGTGCCCCTGCGCCTGGCCTCTTTGGGGGGTTTGTTTTGAGACGGAGTCCCGCTCTGTCGCCCAGGCTGGAGTGCAGTGGCGCGATCTCCGCTCACTGCAAGCTCCGCCTCCCAGGTTGACGCCATTCTCCTGCCTCAGCCTCCAGAGTAGCTGGGACTACAGGCCCCCGCCACCACGCCCGGCTAATTTTTTGTATTTTTTGGTAGAGACGGGGTTTCACCGTGTTGGCCAGGATGATTTCGATCTGACCTCGTGATCCGCCCGCCTAGGCCTCCCAAAGTGCTGGGGGGTTATTTTTAATGTTCCAGGGATGAACAAAGACTGCCTGCAGGCAGTTCCATTATTCAAGGAATCGAAGTAAAATTTTGTTTTATGAGAGGGTGATGATAAGAAATAAAGTCCATTTGTAGGCCAGGGTTAAAAGGAAAGAAAATAAGTCCGAATAATACTGGACAGCTGCCTTGGTGTACAGTGGTGAGCGTAGCTGCCTCCAAGTAACATCGTACAACAAAGTATTTACCTTTCAAAAAATATATATATAGTTTTGCACTCCGAGGCTCCCGGCTTCAGGAGGCCGATGATAAAACTTCAAGTTCCTTTGCTACAGAACACCAGGGGCACACCTGTCCACCCACAACGAAGTGATGTTTACTAGCTGCGGCAAGGGAGACACGGCAGAGGAGCGCCTGCCTTCTCGCACAGGGACAGGCATCATTCCGGGAAGGAGTTTAGGTGAAGTTTAACACGAAGTCGCCTCTGAAAGATTCGGCGCAGGGCCGTGTGTCATGCAGTTAACATCACAAGGGGCTGAGAAGCCGACTCGGGGACATAAGCTCAAGCCAAATGTGCAATGCTGGGTCGGAAGCCCCTTATCCGGGGCTGCGCTCCAGGGAATCGGGGCTGCTTCCCTGTGCGGGGCGGCCTCCCAGCTTAGCGTCTGCAGGCAACGCGGTTTCAAGCAGCAACGTCTCTCCCTGTCTAGCTGTGCAGAGGACGGCTTTTCAGCAGAGGCAGAGAGCTGTCTCAGGCTGGCCGCCTCCGCGCCCCCGGCTCCTGCCGCGGTTCTCACCCAGCTCCCGCTTCCCCCGGTTCCCTCGTGCCCTCGGCTGCCCTCGGCGCTCCCCTAGCCCGCGGAACGGTCGGCCCGGGCCTGCAGGCGACACGCGCGGGCACGCACGGAGCACGGCCCGGCCGCCAGGCCACGGTCGCCAGCGACCCGGAAACACTCGCCTCCAGTGAACTGAGGCAGTGACACCTGACTGTCTTCTACATGCCCCCAGAACTGTGACGAGGCCCCACGCAGAAGCCCGCCCCACTCTCGTCGCACTGGGGACCCCGATATCCCACCGCCGAGGGGGATCTACTCGCCGCAGTCTCACCTGAGGTGCGTTCAAGGAGGACTGCGCATGCGCAAGGCTTGGCGCCGCTCCACCCCTTCCGTTGTCGGCTCCGCCTCCACATTCGTAATTATCATTAATTGTACTCTGACCGCGACCCGAACCTGACTGCCCGCTATGTACATTATTTTGCGGAATATTCGCAATAACACATGCAACAGGTGCTGAGTGTATCTCATTTTACAGAGAAAGCAAGAGGCATACACTGCCCACAATCGCACCGTTAGTAAAAAACAGAATTCACATTTGAACCCAGGACACTGACACTGTGTAGTCTGTTTTGGGTTGTTTTTCTAACACTCTGGAAATTAAGGTGTGATTAGTCTCAGAGAAGCACCAACATAAGCATCACCTGAAAACTTGTTTGTTTTTTTTTTTTTTTTTTTTTTTTTTTTTTTTTTTTTTTTTTTGAGACGGAGTCTGGCTGTGTCGCCCAGGCTGGAGTACAGTGGCCGGATCTCGGCTCACTGCAAGCTCCGCCTCCCGGGTTCACGCCATTCTCCTGCCTCAGCCTCCCGCGTAGCTGGGACTACAGGCGCCCGCCACCACGCCCGGCTAATTTTTTTTTTTTGTATTTTTTAGTAGAGACGGGGTTTCACTGGGTTATCCAGGATGGTCTCGATCTCCTGACCTCATGATCCGCCCGTCTCGGCCTCCCAAAGTGCTGGGATTACAGGCTTGAGCCACCGCGCCCGGCCGAAAACTTGTTAGAAATGCAGAACTAGGCAGCGCGCGTTGGCTCACGCCTGTAATCCCAGCACTTTGGGAGGCGGAGATGGGCGGATCACGAGATCAGGAGACCGAGACCATCCTGGCTAACTTGGTGAAACCCCGTCTGTACTAAAAATAAAAATAAAAATAAATAGCCAGGCATAGTGGCATGCGCCTGTAGTCCCAGCTACTCGGGAGGCTGAGGCAGGAGAATCGCTTGAACCCGGGAGGCGGAGGTTGCGATGAGCCGAGATCGCGCCACTGCACTCCAGCCTGGACAACAGAGTGAGACTCCGTCTCAAAAAAAAAAAAAAGAAAGAAAGAAAGAAAAGAAAAAGAAATGCAGAACTACTGAATCTGAAACTGCATTTTAGCCAGATCCGTAAAGAATTCTTTTGCAAAGTAACACTTGAAGAGAAGACGCAAAGGGGACAAGGAAACAGAGAAGAGAAAAAGAATATAAAAGTATATTGAAGTACCGTGTGCAAGACAAAGCCTGAAACACCCAAAATAGACCCAGATCTACCTTCATCGAAGTTCTAGTCTACTTAGGGGTATTTACCACAAATAACTGATGAAAAGTACACAATGATAAGGGCCTTGCTTCTAATCTGAGGAATCTGTAAAGATTTTAGAGAAGGGGTGACAGCTGGAGCTAACTCTGACCATGCCAAGTAAAGGAAGTGCTTCTGCAAGGTGTTCTGTGATTGCCCCAATTTTCCTATCTAACACCCGCCCTCCCACAGTCCAGCCCATGTGGTTCATCTGTGTAACTAAAGCATCATAAATTGTGAAAAATGTGAATGTGTAAACTATGTTGATTTAAAGCATGTCATTGTTACTCAAGATCACTCAGATCTACACAGATCCAGAACTCTAACCTCTTCCACTATATCAACCTCTCTAGTATCCTCTTAAAGTCTGGGCTTTGCACATTCTCTTGATCTCTCTCCTCTATAGAAACTGTCTCTGGCTTGAACCTCGGTTCTATTTAACAATATACATTTGACTTTCTCTCAAACTTTTTTCAGAAGCTCCCTTTCTGCATTATGTTGCTTTTTATTTTGTCTGTTATTGTTTTCACTGTCATTAACTATTTTTCTCAAAACTTTCAGCACTCTACCCCTATACCACCGAAGTTCCCTTTTCCCCTCCAACTGACACATTCACAATCTTTTTTCTTTTTCTTCTTTTCCTAATCATCGGCTTCTTGTTTCTTCTTCTTCTTCTTCGGGGTCTTACTCTGTCACCAGGCTAGAACGCAGTGGCACAATCAGAGCTCACTGCAGCCTTGATCTCCCAGGCTCAAGTAATCCTACCCCCGCCCCCAGCCTCCCAAGTAACTGAGACTACAGATATTCACCACCACACCGGGCTAATTTAAAAAAAAAAAAAAAATTTTTGTAGAGACAGGGTTTCCCTGTGTTGCCCAGGCTAGTCTCCAACTTCTGGGCTCAACTGATCCTCCCTCCTTGGCCTCCAAAGTGTTAGAAATACAGCTGTGAGCCACTGTGTCTGCCCTTCTTTTTTTTTTTTTCCTTTTTTTTTTTTTTATGAGATGGAGTCTCGCTCTGTTGCCCAGGCTGTAGTGCAGTGGCTCAATCTTGGCTCACTGCAACCTCCGCCTCCAGAGTTCAAGCGATTCTCCTGCCTCAGTCTCCCGAGTAGCTGGGACTACAGGTGCATGCCACCACGCCTGGCTAATTTTTTGTATTTTTAGTAGAGATGGGGTTTCACCATGTTAGCCAGGATGGTCTCGATCTCCTGACCTCGTGGTCCTCCCTCCTTGACCTCCCAAAGTGCTGGGATTACAGGCGTGAGCCACCGTGCCCAGCCTGTCCTTCTTCTTTTTTAAAAAAAAAAGAAAGAAAAAAAAAGAATAGTCAAGTACAGTAGTGAGAAGGGGGAAGGAGTAAGTACATCCACAATCTTTAAAGATTCATCCATAATAAATATTTTCTTATTAAAAGCATCCACCATGACTTCCATGAAACACTTTGTTAAAAATCATTTAAGATACTATGCCTTGAGCTTCCAGACCTGTCTTTGTCCGCTTCGGCTGCTATAACCAAATGCCATAAACTGATGGCTTATAATCAACAGAAATTTGTTTCTTATGATTCTAAAGACTGGGAAGTCCAAAATCAGGGTGCCACAAGATTCAACATGTGGTAAAGACCAACTTTCTGGGTTTTGAGATGGTGCCTTCTCACTGTGTCCTCACATGGTACAAGGGGCAAGGGCCTCTCTGGTGCCTCTTTTAAAACATTAATCCTTGCCCAGGCAAGTGGCTCACACCTGTAATTGCAACACTTTGGGAGGCCAAGGTAGTGGGCTCACCTGAGGTCAGGAGTTCGAGAGCAGTCCAGACAACACGGTGAAACCCCATCTCTACTAAAACCATAAAAATTAGCTGGGCGTGGTGGCACACACCTGTAGTCCCAGCTATGCAGGAGGCTGAGGCAGGAGAATTGCTTGAACTCAGGAGGCAGAAGTTGCAGCCTGGACGACATAGCCCTCATGACCTAATCACTTCCCAAAGGCCCTGCCTCCTAATGCCATCACTGGGGATTTCAACATATGAATTTAGGGAGAACAAAAACTTTCAGACTCTATAGCAAGGCTCCACTACATTGGTTTGAAGTACCAGAATATCAGTGTTAAGAGCACCAGGATGACAAAGTAAGATGAAAAAGCCATTGGGGCTGGGTGCAGTGGCTCACACCTGTAATCCCAGCACTTTGGGAGGCCAAGGCGGGCAGATCACCTGAGGTCAGGAGTTGGAGACCAGCCTGGCCAACAAGGAGAAACCCCATCTCTACTAAAAATACAAAAATTAGCTGGGTGAGGTGGAGCACGCCGGTAATCCCAGCTATTTGCAAGGCTGAGGCAGGAGAATTGCTTGAACCCAGGAGGCAGAGGTTACAGTGAGCCAAGGTCTCACCACTGCACTCCAGCCTGGGTGACAGAATGAGACTCCATCTCAAAAAAAGGAAGGAAGGAAGGAAGGAAGGAAGGAAGGAAGGAAGGAAGGAAGGAAGGAAGGAAGGAAGGAAGGAAGGAAGGAAGGAGAAAGAAGAAAAGAAAAGGGCGTTGGAATGGTTCAGACTGAAAAAAGACAAGAGGGGAAAAAAGCTTAAAGAAATGATAACAAGCTTTACCAACTTGGGCCTGGCAGAGTGGCTCCTGCAAAGAACAGTGGCAAGAAGAAAATGGACCGTTCTGCCATCAATGATGTGATGACCCAAGAATACACCAACATTCACAAGCGCGTGTATGGAGTGGGCTTCAAGAAGTATGTCCCTCAGACACTCAAAGAGATCCGGAAATTTTGCCATGAAGGAGATGGGAACTCCAGATGTGTGCATTGATACCAGGCTCAATAAAGTTGTATTTGCCAAAGGAATAAGGAATGTCCCGTACCGTATCCGCTTGCAGTTGTCCAGAGGATGTAATGAGGATGAAGATTCACCAAATAAGCTCCGTACTTTAATTACCTATGTACCTGTTACCACTTTCAAAAATCTATAGACAGTCGATCAGGCATGGTGGCTCATGCCTGTAACTCCAGCACTTTGGGAAGCCAAGACAGGCAGATCACCTGAGGTCAGGAGTTCAAGACCAGCTTGGCCTGTATGGTGAAACCCCATCTCTACTAAAAATACAAAAAATTAGCCGAGATCACACCACTGCACTCCAGCCTGGGTGACAGAGAAAGGCTTTATCTTGGAAAAAAAAATCTACAGAGAGTCAATGTGGATGAGAACTAACCACTGGATATTCAACTACATCAATTATAGTTATAAAATTGCCTTCACAAAAAAAAAAACAGAAATTGTAAGAAAGACTGAAATAATTGTATAAAAATGTTATGATTTCTGCGGGAAAATATATATAAACTAATAACGGTATTGCACAAAGCTTGACATCTCCATAAATATTTCTTATACACTCTGAACCCCACTATAGATTTCACAAACACATTTTGAGATAAGACACATTTTGGCCACAAGGTTTAGAGCAGGAAAAGTGTAGACTCCAGTAGAAACTTTTACCAAGGGTCCTTTAGCGACAGTGCCTTCCTGGTCCTAGCCTGGTTTACTAATTCTGACA